GAATGCCATCAACTCGTCATCGGATGACGACTAAGACATCGATGAAAGACAATCCGATCGGTAAACTAATGGTAAGACAATAGTGTCTATGACTCACATATTGTTGATACATGTCTTTCATCTGTTTGACGCATTTCTGCATTTTATGCAAATGCTGTGAATTGTCGAACACGTGTCTGATTTGGTCGACATCCATGACTGGATCAGTTGTGGTGACAGTCGATGCAGTGGTCATGTGTTGACAGACACTCAGTCACTCACCCATTGAAAGGCCGTTCAGTGCTATAGTGTGTCATAGAGTGAGTGAAAGCCAATCAATGCTTTTGCCGCCAAAACAGTGACAATGTTTTCAGTGAAACCAATCATAACTACCAAACCCTTACAGCGCTCTCTACCGCACAAACACTACACTAAGCATTATTCCGACAGTAAAGTAGAGGTAGTCATACAGTAGTCAAATAGTAGTACTGTATCAGACTCAATGGTTTTCATGGGCTTTCAGCCCATTCCGGTGATAAGCATATACTTACTCTATACTTAATCCATATCCAGGCACTAAACAAACAATACTGATAAGACATTCAATGTACCGGGTGATCATATAGTGAGAGGATTATATCCAGTTTATGTTTGAAAACATGTTTATTGAAAAGCATGTGATTTTGCTTAACATTTTTGTCAAACTTTTAATTATTTTTGATTTGCTTATCATTTAAATGCAAAATACTTTTGAGTTAAAGTAAACTATTTTAATGTTTTGTGACAAACCATTGGTTTTTAAAAATATTGTTTAACTTTGTGTTGATTTGCTTGTGATTTATGTGCTATATTTTGTCACAATTTTTTCATTACATTTGAATTTCTTTTCATTTAAATGAACACTACTTTTGTGTCAAAATAAACTTTAGTTTGTTTTTAAATTTGTGTTAATTTAGATGTGATTTTTGAGCGAAACTTTTGCCACAATTTTCTTCATTACATTTGAATATCTTTTCATATTTGAATATATGAAAGAAATAAAATTTTTACTTTGAATAAATATTTTTAGTATTTGATTGACACCCTGTATATTGTATTGCTTTTGAGTTTATAATAGAGGATTGCTTATCACCTGAATGTATACCCAACCCATGGAAACCATTGAGTCTGTACTGTATCATAACTGTACTGAATATTCTGTATTCCTATACATTTTCATTGCAATTTGTATTGAACTGTTAGGAATATTCTATAATGAGACTATATAGATTATGTTGGCAGGGGTATTCAAGTGTGATCAAGTTCCACTTCACCTGTTAGTTAGTATATTTGATCCCTGGCTTACTTATCTTATAAATGGCTAAATGATTAAAAAAGATTTATAGCTCGATACTTGTTTCTAAGTTTTTCATATTATTTTATTACTAATTCTTGTCTTTAAGACTTCTTTACAAAATTATTAACATTGTATTAATTTTCTAAATAATTAATTCAATTACTCAAAAATTCAATTAAATGCTTGTTTTAAGTAAGTTACCAAGATCTATAATAGTTAACTAAAAGTTTATGCATTTATTTGTTTAGTACTTTTGTGTGAGTTTGTGGCCATCGTGTTAACTGTCTGTCCGGACAAACACATAGTGTATCCCTGTGTTTGCCATCAAACCAATGGTCATCTTCCGGATATCACTTGCAGTCGAAAAGATGCCAATATATCGGAAGTATTTGCGAGTATCCGCCGCAACAGTGGATCAGATGCGGAGCAAAGATATGGCAAATTATTTTGGACTAACGGCAGACTCACTAACATTAGCGACAACTTCTTTGCCGGCCTTTCGTTTGAACACATTTTGATGGGAACCCGAAGACAATACGCAAACATTGAGCACATAAGCGCCGGTGCTTTCAACGGAATCTCCCACAGAATTAAGTCTATTATCATTAGATCCCAAGACTTATCAGACGACCAAAGTTTGTTCGACGCCTTAAGAAGACTAACAAACGTTGAATCCATTGGTATTGAAGGCGAAGGACTGCTAGCGGTTCCGGAGAATGCTTTCGAAACACCTGAAGATTGTCACCCATTGACTGATTGCGTTCAACACAATCTAAAGTCCATATCATTCAGAATTGGTGTCAATATGTCCCTAATATTCCTTCAGGAGGTCCAGAGCCACGCGTTTTACGGTTTGCCAAATCTGGTATCACTTGATCTCAGCTCTCATGACGTGAACCGTATCCACGCAAATGCCTTCACGTTTGGCCACAAATCGGATCAGATGTTGACAATTGATTTGTCCAAACAGTGGAACAAAGAGTTAGTTTCAGACAGTTTTGAGGAGAAGGCGTTTGAGGGCCTGAATCGACCCGTTTTTCTCGACTTATATGGAAATAAATTTCTCGACACTCTGTCAGAGCGTGTGTTTCGACCCTTTTTGGAGTCGGACTCCAGGAATACAATCAAATTAGGAATGAAAATGAGTTGTGATTGTCGTTTGTATTGGCTTTGGGACCAAAGACACACATTTCGACAGCAATTCATTGAATGGATTTTTGATGATATGCCCCAAAATCAAACCAAACGCACGATTCTCTGCTCAGAAGG